ATTCGTATAGAAACTTCGCCATATCATCTTATGTCATTATAAAATATAGTTTAGTTAATGATAATTATACTCTGAAAATTTGTTCAAAATTTGTGAGTAATCACATCCGCATTCAGTATGATCACCAATTTATCCTACACTGATTAACGATAATTCGTGTGTAGGTTAAATTTAGAAAAATTCTATAATTTATTTTCATTCACATTCATATTTATCTAGACAAATATAAATGTTAAAAATATTTTCTATTATATTTAAACAATGAATAAGTAAACTAAACTACGAATTTTTTTTAAATGTTTAGTTGATTATGTGATCTAATACATTTCTATGGTAATTGAAATATTAACAAATAGATGTGATGTATTTAACCGAGTTCACACACGTTTATTGTTAATACAAATTTGATTAAACCAATGGTCCAGTATACAACATACTATCTCTTCATGAACTGTATATTAATAAAAAACACCATATATATAAAAATGCATTTGTTTATAAGGTTAGTCTACAATTCATGGTGTTCACATAGTCAATAGTTCTTAAGAGTCTTTTTTCACACAGTTAATGATATATAGACAAATATTCTAGATATTGAAAGAATCGATATATGTTTTATATTGAAAATTATATATTACTATGTAAATGAAGTGTATCATGATTTGGACGTCTGAAGCGTATTTTTCTTTTTAAGAGTATTTAAGTAATATATTATGAATACTTGTTCAGTAACAGAACTGAATTGTTTACAAAATCATCCGATTTAGAGTAAAATATATTTTGAAAGCAAGCAATTATTAAAGAATCCAGAGAAATTTATTTTCATTAGGACCATCCCATCCTTATCTAACAACTACTGACAATTATAATATTGAATAGTATCAGAAGGGGTTTTGTGGAGATTGTAGTAATTTAAACAGTTTGAGATCATGAGTCAGTTGAAGCTAGACCACCATGGGGAACCTGGAGGCACTGGACGGCCGCTTCGTTCTATTGTGGGACTCAGCAGTGCGCATCCACGATCCCGCACCCCACGGGATTCGAGCCCAGGACCTATCAGTCTCGCACCAAGCGCCTAACCAACTAGACCACTGAGCCGGCATCCAACGGTGTTAATGTATAACTTCAACTAATCCACGAAATTGAGCGACACATCCACCATTGTCATCAGGACTGACAGGTCCTGGGTTCGAATCTCGCGGGGTGCGGGATCGTGGATGCGCACTGCTGAGTCCCACGATAGGACGAAACGGCCGTCCAGTACTTCCAGGTTTTTCATGGTGGTCTAGCTTCGAGTGACTCACGCTCTCAAACTGTTTATAATGTTGAAATTTTTTTTAACTTGAACTAAACAATTTAAATTATGTTAGGTTGCTATTTTTAGGTCGGTATATCGGTAATGACTTAATCACTTTTTAATTCTGTAATATGCGTAACTTTTAAATAACTTACGTTCAATAAGTTACGCACTCTGTGAATTACAATAGCAGCTTTTCTTATTCAACCAACTGTTGTTGAGCAATCTACTGAATTTATCAACCAACTCTATGCATTAAACCAGTGGATGAATGTATTTAAATCAAATTAGGAAAGTAGGATTTTCTAAAGTTTGAAAAATGTTTTACGAAAGATCCATAGTGTGTAAAACTGTGATTAATCATGACTTTCACGAAGTTCAATAGCTGTACTATTTCTTGTACTTTTGTTTATTTTTTTGTTTCATTTAGTGGGAGAATACTGCATGTAGGAGTGTGATTTCCATTAGTGATTTCACTTTAAGCCTTCCACAATATTTATGTTTTTCATTAGTTGATTGAGCCACACTTCATCGTATTGGTAACAGGCATGAATAAGTTCAAACTTTAATAAAGATTACACCATTTACGTATTAAATGAACTGAAGGATAGACAAAAATGCTGAACACAACACTGAAAATTGAAAATGGTGATGACAACTTCAGCGTATATGCAGTATATCTGGTCTTTAGGGGAGTAGTAAAAACAACTAAATAGCTCAGATCTTATATTTATTTAACCGGTTTTACAAAATTCTGGAATGAATGAGGTGGCTGGATTGATCTAGAGCTGCAACTGGATTTTAAAAAGCCCTTTTTTAGTATATAAATAAAATGTTTTTTCCTATTTTTGCACATGCATATAGTTCCACCCATATTTCCAGTTACCCTGTAAAACAACGTAAATGACTTTCTTACCCCTTTACTATCCACATTAAGTGACCATAAAACAATGGCACACTATCAGAAGCTCCAAACAATTTCAAATATTTGCATTAAAAACTATGATGGAAGTATATGGATTCATTTCAACATCTCAAAAATCAAAAGTAATCAACGAATAATCTTTAATTAAATATGAATGACTCGACGTTATACTTGATTATCTGGAACGTTTCTAGACTAAAAACGAAAAAAAATAAAATAAAACAACTTGATCTCTTAGTCGCCAACAACTTTCTTATTTGAACACTTTCGGTACCCTACTGGTGTCCTTATAGTATTGGGATGATTGTCTTCGTGAAAATTAAATTAAAAGTTTTTTTATGGACTGACATCAGTTGGAAAACTGGGTAGCTTTTTTATACAATTTTGCAGCTAATTAGTATTCTCTCGTCTGTCTTAAATTATGCACATGTAGCTGCTAGATTGGTTAGTCTGTCTGAAAATTTCCCTCATTAGCTATGACGACTTCACAAATTTCCTATAGAAACCTTACTGAACAAAAGCACCAGCATTTTCGAAAAAGTTGAACTGAATACATTCATGTTACTAGGCATTTAGTACGCTTTATGTTATTCTGACTCTTTCGATCATGTTGTAATGTAGCCAGTATTTTAAGTGATACTCCTCGAATGAACGGTTGATTATGAAATCGAAATAATGGAGGTGATTTTTACTGTTGTAATAGCTGATGTAGGCCAGGACTACAACGAGCGCTTCGAAATTACGCTAACAGGATCAACAAAGTGTCCTTCTAAACAAAGAGAGAAGGGGTTATAACGAATGTCACCCAGTGCTACGCTGCCAACAATGATAGCAGCGATTATAGCGATCAGTTTCATGGGGCAGTAATCGATTGTCGAGAAACGTTCAAGAACAGACCTAACCATCCTGATGTGAGACTTACCCTGGGTAAGATTCAAGATAGGAAAAATAAGAAAACGGTTTGCAACAACACTCAAATAAAAGCAGAGAAAGTCAGGATACACGCCGAACGTAAAAGTGGAAACAAAAGATTGGAGAAAAGCATTACAGATGACAAATGGAAATATGTGGAATACCTAGAAAAGACTGCAGAATAAGCTGTAAGGGAAAAAATATGACAGACCTATATAATACAACTAAGAAACTAGCAGAGAAAAAGAGATGATAGCAAGAAAAGTCAAAATTCGGTTGATTTACTCATTATGAGATTCGTTCAACATTAATTCCGTTTTAATTCAATCTGATGATTATTCAGTGTAGTATTTGTTTTGTTTTCCCGTATGATATTTTATGCTGTATAGGATACGATATTCTTGTATTCAACTGACATGAACTACGCTCAGCATGTGATTTGTTATATGGGTGTAGGAATCATTATATAAATGAGTGTATTTCTTATTAGAGTCGGCGTGTTTTAGGGTTAATAAATCATCACTTATAACCAGTCTTTGTGCTCTTACTTTCGAGTCATAGAAATTGCAGAGGTCCCTCGTTTCGAGTATAAGTGATAAGCATTTCCGACACAACAATCAGCGACAACCAGATATAGCTAGTAGCGTTCAACTGACAAAACATATCAGAAACAAATCAAACTGATCAGTCAAAAACAAAGAAGGCACATCAATTAGCGAGGTTCAACAGCAGTGTAACAGATAGATAGAACACTTTGAGGAACTCTTTAACTGACCAGTTCCACAGAACCCACCAGATATCCAAGGAGTATACACAGCCCTATCTGTAGATGTAACAGCACCGAAAATGGAGAAAATCAGGAAAACCACTAGACAAATCAACTATGGGAAAGGAGCAGGATCAGACAGCATGCCAGTTGAAGCACTGTAGTCAGATACAGAGGTAACTATCATGATGAGTCACGTTCTCTTCAGAAAGATTTGGAGGGGAGAACAAGTATCGGCAGACAGGAAATAAGGGTACCTCATCGAGACCACGGGAGGTCTTAGTATGTATAAAAAACAGAGACATCAAACTACTGTAAGTGCCAGGCAAAGTTTTAACAGAGTGTCGCTTGACTTAATGAAATATTCAGTAGACGCCCGATCTCAAGATCAAGAAATTCGCAGTGACCGAATCGCGAAACTACAATCAGTTGAACGGACTTATTTTATCTTATTCAAACATAAATATCGGTACAAAGAGGCATCGAATACATATGCGTCACATCCGATTTGTGCGAGGGTTTGGATACTTCCCGGGTGCCCAAACCGGAGGTGGTTTTCTTAGGGGACCACTCCGCTAGCCTTTAACCTAAAGGTCTAATCCACAAGGTAGTAGAGCAACGTCAGGAGATGCAGTCCTGTGGTAGTAGGTTCACACGCCATTAGTTTCCTCAGGATTCTGGATCCCATGTGCACCATTGGTTTAAAATCACGGTTTTCCAACTCCCTTAGGTTGACTCTCCATGTCCGTCAACCCGATCAAAACGTCGAACATTCGCCTTTCATTCTCTCAGTTTCGTAAACAATACCCCTGCCTCGAGAAGGCAGTGAATAAGACTTCACTGTCAGAAATTGAAATTGAACACACTGAAGCAAATTGTAACTTATATTACTCACTTCTTTATGTACATTTAAATTCATTTTAGCATATTTTCCTTTGACTTAATTTTTCTACTGATTCTGTTATGAATAAAATGTATCAGCATGAACCATAAGCAAAATTTTTCCTGGTTAAATTAGTTTATAATTTGCTTGTATTCATTATTCTTTTTTAATGATAACTTAATTGTTTACTGCCGTTTTAAATAAAAAAAAGATTACCCACTAGTGAGACTATTTTATCAAAAATATCAGGTAAACAGTGTTTAGGAATTGGTAATTAAGAATATTTACATTACATCCACATATAATACTGAAAATATTAATTTATGTAAAGTAAAACCATATATACAATATATAATTTCATAGTAACATTTTATGGTTTTTCAACAAATTAATTAATTCTTCCACAGATGTACAGAAATAATCGGATATAGTTTTAACTTTAGGACGAATAACATTGACACCGAAACCGATAAATACAGAAGCTGGTGGACAAGCATTTGCATCTGTCATTCCATCACCTATCATCATAACTGGAGTATGCAATTTATTCAGTAATTCATTAACGATTAAGGCTTTACCATCGGAACGACTAGTTGGTGCACTATGATCCAATCCAACAAATGTGCCTATGGGAAATTTTAAAAAAACGCTTACCAAACAATCGGAACATAAAGAAAAACTTACCATAATATTCAGAGTACTAAAAGCATTGCTCTATTCAAAATATGGTCTAAAGATACTACTGATATGACTTAATGCATCACGATGATAGGGTGTACAAAGAAACATCAACAAAGCAGGTCTTGTTGTTAAATGCGTCATAGCTTTCTCAATTTCGTCATGAGTTGTACGGATGATGTGAATTGCTTATTGCAAAAACAGTCAAACCTTAGGCAACTGGAGAGTAGTTGTACATCAGTTGAAATATTCTTCGAAGTTTTTTAACCTACATTACATATTACAGACAAATTCCCTATTAGGTTATCGAATATTTTTCTAAGGAACAAAAATAACCTTGGACAACTGATAGTTGTAACAAAATGACGACCTCATTATAACGGATGTTTGGAAGGAGTAATCACAAATAAATTATAGTGAACATGAAATCAGTTTGCAGTGATTTAGTACTTATTAGTTAGTTTCATAACAGGAATTCTTCAATACAAAGCAAATCATTACTTCATTACCGAACATTACCCACATTCAGTTATTTTAAATATTTTTCAGTAAGTGAGTGACGCGCAACTTGGATTGGTTCAAGTTGACATACTACAGTAACACAGCGAAATAAAATTGTCAAGACAAATCCTAGAATAGTAGAAGTGATAAAGTAACAGTAGTAGTAAAAAATAAACGAAAAATTATAAGATTTTAGGATTTAGTAACCACAGAAAGATAGAGAGTGAATCCACCTGAGCTATTGCAACCGATTTTGAGTCATTCCCCTCAAAGCCTCTATTTATGTGAATCCCAACCAGGTGGTCTACAACGGTCCAGATGTCAGTGACTTTATGGATTGGTGCCACGTCTTACTTGATACCCGTTAGTCTTCTTCCAACATACTCCTACACCATACAATTCCCCACATCAAGGTAGTCGGTGGTTGGATAACACATGTCCTAATCACCTCAACTAATGAATATTCACTACATCGTCAACTGATCTGCCATATCTACGTAATACCATATACCTCTTTTCGGCGCCGTCCACTCAGTGGTCCAAAAATACACCGGCGATGCTCCAAACACACTTATGATTGGATGGCAATAGCCTACGAATATCCCCTAATCTCAGTGGTTATGTTTCACACCCATGAAGTGAAACGGAGCAAACTGGTGAACAGTAAACTCGTCATTTGGTTGAAAGATGGATACTTCGCCTACCCCACAAATGACACAAGCTGGCAAAGTCAACCAACCTTTCAGTATTCGTGCCAAGATTTCGTCATACAGCAGGCTATCAGAGATGATGAGATCTCTAAAATAAGTGAAGTGGTCGACGCACTTAACTACATCACTCCCTATCATTACTTCAGGAGTTGACACAGACCAATCTTGGAACAGCATTTTGAATTTGAAGGGGAGCAATTGCGTTGCTGCCTAAGGTGGTCAAAAGAATGCATCTTATCAGGATCTTCATCAACACAGAACCAAGTCACCTGCGTATTCTAAGTCAACAAGTAAATCTCCTGGTGGAACACGAATCCCTCCAAAGTCAGATGATGAAAGCGACATATCTATGATAAAGTCAAATAAAAATGGGGAAAGCGCACAACCTTGCACAACACCACTTGAAGACAGTCCTTATCAGTAGTGTTCGAGTAGAGAGACTGTACAAGGTTGATGTACTTCCTTGGTTTGTCTTCCAATGACAGACGCACAGAACTTATCAATCAAGAGTCTAACGCTACCTTACGCGCCACACAGTAGCAATGAGGTTATGAAGAGATAGAGAATTTAAAATGCGTATATTAAAAGAAGAACAATAACGGACAGATATCAGTGTATGAGAGTGAAATAATAATAATAATAATAATAATAATAATAATAATAATAATAATAATAATAGTTCAGTTAGCAAAAATATAACCAGAAAGAATTCTTTCAATTAGAGAAGTTACGTTTATTTTCTATGGAGTAAAAGAAAGTTACAACAGGATCGCCACTGGATTCTATTTTGAGCCATATTTGATAATGTTTCAAGCCACTGTGTTGCATCATCTCTAGGACCCCAACCAGGGAGTCATGGAGGACCAACAGAAGCCAGTCCTGTACAGCTTTCTTTCATATCACGACACCATGTCATAAACTGATGCATGATGTGGACTTATCCCCCGATAGTTGTTGCAGAAACAACGTGAACCCTTTTTAAAGACAGGGATAACTATTGACTCGTTTCATGACGGAATACTCTAATTATCAGACCTTTGTAAATAACTCAATCAGTTCCATAACCAGAAATTCACTACCATCTTTAAAAAAGGTCGAAAGTAAGTCATCTGGGCCCGGTGATTTGTAGCGCTTCAGGAGTTGGAGTTCCTTGCAGACTTCTGTCTCATTTGGTGGATCAGTCATCACAGGCCATGGAGGGCAAGACAGTCTGATCGATATTGCCGGGGCAGCAGACCAGTTGAACTGCCCCTCCTCCGAGACGTCGGTAGATGTTAGTGATTGACATCCCATCATCTTCACAGATTGTTTCGCTCACATCAGACTTCTTGCTGCCAGTAAATCAGATGAGTCAAATAAGCTTCCGGCAGTTACCACATGCAGGTGCTGCTTCCAACTCATTGGCATGCTCCGACCACCAGGCTTCTCGGTTCTTACACAAGCCTTGTCAAATTTCATTTCGTAACAGTCTTCGCTTGGGGTTAAACTCGAGGTCATCCGGAGTAGACCGACAGGCTTCAATGAGTTGTAAGGAGCCCAAAGAAACCCCGTGCTCATAAGCGGGACTTTTCGAAGAGCTGCAAACGACTTTACTCGCCATTTTCATGGTATCATGTAATTGCAACAAATGTTTATCTATACTTTTCGGTGGGTTGGTAGCTAGCCTTGAACCTAGCTCGGTTTGATATTTAGTTACAACTGAAGTTTCTTACACATTAAAGAAGAGTAAAAACAGAAGAATACACTGGTATCTGGATTGACAATCATTCTCAGCCACCTGTGTTAACATTTTAATCCTGAGTTACTCAATTTCAAGGTCCTAGTGAGGCATTATGCACTACCGGACGCTAGTTTTATATAACTGCTGCTACTACCGGTTCGGTTATACCGGAGTAGCTGAAGCAAGGTTCAAACTTGTGATTGCATCGTGCAATCGTAAATTCATTTATAAAGATACCATATGTGTGAATTAGTAGCGTTTTCTTCCCTATTACTTATTTTAAGTTGCTTCTGCCTCAAAGAAACATTACAGATATTTATAATAAGGTCAATAATTTTATGATGAATAAATCCTGGGTGGCTTCTCAGTTACTCATATATATAATGCTCAACTGTAGTTTCGACTTGTACGAGAACAACAACATTGTTGCTTTGTAGAAGAGTCTGACCATTTTGAGATTAACCTTGAGTTGCAGAGAAGCGATGCTAGTTGGTGCCCACGAGAAACAGTTTGTGATCTGTACAAAACTTCTGTAGGCGATTCTTTTTATCTAGGCTGAGACTGATGAGCTCCCTTGTGACACCCAGTCAGTTCCTTTATACGCACGAACTGGAAACTCAAAATTCAAGTTTGTATCAAAACACTTTCGAAAGCTCGTTATCGAGATTGTCTAACTAATGGTTTGATTCACCCTTGAGATGGTGGAGAAGATTTGTAGCTCAGGTGGATGATTTTGATGGAGTTTTGTTCTCTGAGCTGGATGGCTTGGTCATCGTTCTTCTGAACAACATCATCAGCACAAACTTCAGGTAGAAGTCTTCTACCAGCTCAGAGAACAAAACTTCATCAAAATGATTCACCCTTCAACGAGTCCGAACTACAACTTATAGGTGTGTAAAATGAAAACCAAAAACAAATATTTCGCCTTACCAATAGCTCATTCTAGTTGTAGGGCCAGCGAAATGTCACTAAGCCCTAGCCAAATCATATGGCAGTTGGGTCATTGAATGTCGAGCGAATCATCGATCCTCGTCAAGGTCAGGGACAACCAACGCGCATCAGTTAGTCGTATACCATGTACTGGCCCATGTGGCAGTGGTCTTACTTTCGCTTGTATCTACCTTAACCAATATATTTCTGTAATAACGCCCTCTGTGTTGGACAGTCTTCAAAGCACCTATGGTACCTTGATACGTCAATGGGGTAGTCCGCGTAAGGTGCTGACCACGAGGTGTGACTTTGACGTTAGCTGGTTCGTCACACCATTCACGTCTAACTCGAGTAGGCCTCCAATCATTTCGACATAGATCATCTACGTTGGTGATCTACACTGGTGAGCAAGACTTCGAATAATGCAACCTATCACTACATAGTAAAACCTTCTGGCTTAGCACTACGTAAACAACCGTTACTAAGATTCCAATCGTCTAATGGTGATTACACATTAGTGTACCATAAGTATGTATGTAATATGAGTGTCTGCATTACCAGTGACATCGAGCTTCCAAATAAGTGCACGTAGAGCAAACTTTTGAACCATAGATAAAGAACGTATTTGTGGTACTTGACTGGAAACTACGCAGGTATCGCAATAAATGTACTACCTGGATTCATCTCTCTGCAGCTCAAAGCTGAACTTGAAATGAATATAATGCAAAGCTCCCGCTCATTTTCGAATAGCTACACGAATTTTGATAATGCTTCAGTAAACATCAAAGTTATCTTGAGTTTCGGTGGTAAACTACTTCATTATATTAAATGAACTGGTGTAAAGGAATCGGTTTTACCTACAATTGTGACCAAATTTTGAACTGAGCTAGTACGAAGTGCAGCTGTCAACTTAATGTAAGTCATAGATAAGCACTGGTTACACTTACAAAATTTCATGAGAATGTTGAGTGAATTAGCTTGCAGTCTCAAGAGCCTCTTCCACAAAACAAACGTTAGCGAAACCTGGAGACGCATTCCAAATAAATATTTTTCTTAATTTTGTCATAAGACTTACTAAGTAAGACGTTGGTCCTATTTTAAATCGCCAAGATTTGTGTAGTATCATACTTCTTCAAATGGAATAGGTAAGTTTATTTAGGTTTCAAAAAAGCTAGCATAGCTCCTGAATACAATTGCTTCTGGAAACTTGATAAATATTCAATATGTAGAAGATACTGATCTATTCCCGAGGGATGAAGTTCAATAAACCAGGCTTAAATCAATAATTTATGATTTTAAAGATTGGTCTGACCATCCGAGCTTCAATATGAGACTTAATCCTACACTAAATAGCAGAGGTAATCAAAGTCATGTTGATTATTCAAATAACATATTCTGACTTTAGGATTGTTTATGGAATCGAAATCTATCAAGGTATTTTTGTCTTAAACTCTTTAGAGTAGTTAAAGTTTATATCCAAATTATTTATTTAAAAAAACCCATTCCTCGTTATCATAACAACCTTAACCTAATATTTTTTCTGGTTAGCGCTTTTTTAGAGATTTAGTTTTCTACGGGATGGGGTCGCTAACTCCATGCCCGACCCTCCTTTTTTATCCGGGCTTGGGACCAGCAGCAGCCCCAGAGGGGCTCCGGGCGGAGTTAACCTATTATTATAGGCCTCATTTAACAGATTTTCGCATTTTCAAATGTCTCCTTTTTTGAACTATATAATGCGTTTCCTCAATTTTTTACTCCCCTTCTTTCGTGTAGCATTACCAATAAACGTTATTGTCTAATTCTTAGGACGAAAATATTATTTCAATAATCCTATTCCATTCACATAATTCGTCGAAATCCTCCCTTCTATACTTACATACATTCTGTAGAAATTGAAATTCAGCCTGTAGCCCTTCTAGAGTTTCTCCCAATCGAAAGCCCGGATAAAGGAAGAGGGTTAGGCATGAGGTCAGCAACCCCATCTCATAGGAAACGACTTTCCTAGAAAAATGCTATCCAGGAAAAACAATTTGAACTCTCACCTAGGATTCAGAAGATCGTCACTCGGAAGAATTATGATACCCAAGATGCTTCGGAAATCACGAGGCCGATGCCTCACCAGACGGTACTACAAGTAACTAGGACTAACGTTGGTCCTTATGTCTGAAGACCAAAAGCTGAATGCAAGAAACATTTGACTACTGATGGAATAATTGTTGACATCTGGATATTTCTTAGAAAACCAATATTGCATTTATGCATACAAATTCAATGGTAAAATTATTTTGAATGGAGATGGTTTGTTTTCACAGACAGGCTAACATACAAGAGAACCTTATCTAACTGCAGTTTTCAAGAGGTTACATTGTGCACAATTTTGTATCAAAGCAAACGAGAAAAAAACTTCAACAATCAGTATTACCTTCGTTATTGAAAATCAGCTTGTTCGCGTAAACATTTTCTTCAGGAATATTGAGCAGTTTGGCTACGCGATTAACTAACGGATATAATCCACCGCTTACCAAGTAAACATCAACCCCATTTTCTTTGAACTGATTAACAAGATTTCTGTCCAAAGCGTGAGAAATAAATACTTAAATAAATTATCCAGACCAAAATGATTATTAGGCCATATCATAAATTCATCAAGTTGATTTAGTAAATAAGTTTAGATCTCAAAGAAAAACTGTTTTGAAGTCAGCTGAGTTATCAAAACTTTTAAGATGGAGAATAGTTGGTTGAGGAAGAGAACGATTAAGCTTAAAACGTGACCTAAACACATCAGCAAACGGAGATTTGCAGTTCCCCTGATCGATTCGTCACAGTTCCCCATTACCAGACACCTAGCTACGTCAGTGTTAACTCAATCGTTCCACCATACACCGGCAATGCCTCAAAGACACTTAAGACCAAATATTTGTGGCCTACACATATGCCGCATCTGTAGCATAATACAGTGCGGACTGATGAGTAATATACCCGCCCATTGATTGGCAAACGGATATCTAGCTATATATTCCATATAGTTTTCATTTAAATAAAACATGTAGTGAGCAACACAAACCATATTTTTTACCAATAAAGGAAATATTTCAGTACCCTAAAGGCTAATATGATGAATTGTCCGCCACCTTGCCCAAAAAAGTTAGATCTCAGTATCACTAACAAATTATTGCTACCAAGTGTGACAACAATTACAAAAAGTGGTTACAAAACACAGCCACCGAAAATACTCAGTTTGTGATAGTCACATATGATCAATTCAAGAGGTGGACCGTACAAAATAAATTACATTTCTGAATAAAAACAACAGACAAACCATCCCAAAACCCATAGTTCAGGTAAGAAATACTAGTTACTTCTATAGAAGCGAATTACATCAAAGAATGCGAAACACTGTAAACTTTATGAAAAGTTCATTCCCAATATTTAAGCTGCCATACAAAGATATTGCGTAAAGTCTATTCGAAGTCCTCATTTTTCTCTGAGTAATACTTTTTACAAAGTTTCACCCAAAATGTTATCCACAGCTATTTTTAGGAGAACGGATGATAAACTTATGAAACTAAACTGACTGATCGAATTCTGCAATAGAGACTGAAAGGATATCATAAAAGATCCAAATAAAAACGAAATACAGACAAGAACTTCATTGACCAACTCTATGTATGTAAGTTAGAATACCAACACCTATAAACAGCATTTTAGTGCTGTTATAAAACTATATTAAAAGTAGCCCTACAGTATGACTTGATAGAGTAAAATATAGATTAATCACTTCCATTTTGGTACATTTAAAAAGATTCCAGCGATTTAATATGGATGTTTCATTTGAAAACGTTTAAGAAATTCCCGTCAAATTTACTTGACAGCATTGGTATTTACATCTAGTGGATGTGAAAGTTTACACACAAGTGTCTGTACAGTCTGCTTGCGGCAGTAGCTTAGTGGTGAATCCATATGCTTTACAGTCACTGAGCTGCAGGTTCGAACTCCACCTCACCTATTTCGGTATGAGCAACAGGGTATTATCATTAACCTTTAGACTTGGAATGTGGCTCATACCCAAGTAACTTAAGAATGAGTTAAATTATTCGTATTTTGTATGATTACTAACTTCGTGTGTACAAAAAAAACCGCGAGGCATATTACTTCATAACACAGTTCAATAATTTATTTAGTTAACGTGTAATTCTTATCTTATAATCATCAACTGTTACAACCAAAATAGTATTTGCGTCACACTGTAACAGCGACTTGGATATCGACTACTATTAAAATTAGGATTGTATACATATACATAATTAATGGCTCATGTCCTTCTTAGTTTCATAAAAACACTCGTTCATTATGAAGTTTTGAAAATAAACTGTCTGTCAGACCTGACCATAGTGACATTTACATTAACAAAAGTATTTATTTAGAAAGGTCAATTTTTATAGGAATGAATGACATATCTTCCAAAGTCTGAAAACGAAAATCCATGGTGATTTTCAAAATTGGTTTAAATGAATGGAGAAAATAAGAAATGAAGTTATTTACACAATGATAACCGGAGCACGTACATTATGATTGCAAAACTAGAAGATTTAGTGAGATGAACTTACTCAACACCCGGTGTTAGTCTAACTGGATGGTTGTCTAAAAAGTCAGTAAGCTTCTTTAGATTTAAATTCATTATTGATAAGCGGGCTTCTAATGCCTTAGTAATGTCCAATTCTCCATTCATAGCCTCCTCAGTGCTAATGAAACTTTGAAATATAGACGAAATTTATTGTCTACATTTTTTCAACTTTATCAGTAACTCCAAGAAAACCGGCAATTTCATCCAGTCCTTCATCTTCACAAACCGTTGAGTCTACGTCCAAACAAACGCATTTGATATTAGACCAATCTGCAAACATCGATATGTTATACACTAACAAAAAGAAGTTTATTACACTTCAGTTATGTAGTCTCTGAAACAGGAAAGAATCAGATGTACTAGTATACAAAACCAAGTGTAAGGACTAGTTATATGGAGTAAAGATTTGAAACAACTAAAGATGCCATACGTCAAAAAGATCTATGAGGGTCTTCTAGATACACATCAGACTAAACCAATACTACAACACCAGCGATTGTGACTTGTACTTTGAGAACAAAAGATCAGGTGCCTGTGTCAGTCCTCTCCTAGTATGATTTCGTGTCCTTATTTTTCTCTTGAATGAGTAAATTGAAGGTCCATGAACTACTTATCCTGGTAGTTAGTTCTAAAAGTAAATTATTCGGCAAGAAATTTTGTTCGTTCTTGGCTTCTGGATCCGCCAGTTGGAAGAAAACAAAGGTAATTCAGGTTAAAAATCACTTTTAAGTATCCTTCACACCATAATTACATCGCTTCCGAATCAAATGTATAGTAATTTAATAAAACTTGGTTTCCAGAGATCCATGGTATGAGGAAAGCCACTGGAATCACAAGAGTACAACTCCTCTGCACATCGAAAAGATCTGAGTAATCTTTTAAAAAAGGGCTTGCGACTTGCACAGTACGCTCGAATTCGGATCTCATTATGGGCTGAGTAAAATAGTGACATACCTTTGGTTATTTTGCGAGTTTTTCTTAACACCCAAGCCAGTCTATGACACTTAGCAAATACCAAACGTCACTGAGCCATGATCCACAAGTGATGACTGACTATGATCCCTGGGTCGTCGGTCAAGAAGTAAAGACGACAAACCTTTCCTAGTTTTCTGGTTGATACCAATTTGCATTAAGAAGCAACTGACTGCACTATCACACATTATTGACGTTTCGAATAAAAATACTTTCAGACCAGCTGGTGGTCAAGTTGCTACAGAAGTGATTGATGACCCAGACAAAACCATTATTGTCCTGAGTAGTTCTAATGTGGATACTGCAACTGATGGGAAATAAATGAAGCGTAAACACAGGAGAGAAGGAAAGATAGCCAAAAATAACGCAAGTTTGGATGAAAAGTCCTTGGTGGGCTCATATCCGGTGTTAAAGATTACTCCGCCAAGTCCCAAATTAAGACGATATTTAACCCTATCATATATATAGGAAAACTTCGGCCTCATCAAACATTGTCATGTCATTCGCTCGACAGATTTACCAGCCACATGTACAGGTCCTATGGCTGGTATCTCGGTGTGATTAGAACAAGTATTTCTAACAATACACGTGGAGTATACTTCGCTTGAATAGTTTAATTCTCAGCTTTTTCCAGATTTGATTCCGCTAATAAATCTGGATTTCCGTATAACAGTAATGAGGGAATACCATCACTGCGTTTTGTTCTCCATTTAACGTACAAAAACAATCGTTTTGGACAAGTACGATTATCATATTTCAACTGTCTTTCGTAAATAGTACAGCATCTAGCTATGGTCTTTTTACATATATTCTGATGCTTTTGGTATTCGCACCTAAATTATTCGTGTCCTGTTGACAATAATAAGTCCCAGAAGTGTTTCCTACGCTTCAATAGCTTTTCGCTCTCCCTATTGATCCATGGAGGATTATGTGATAGCTTACGTATTGACCATAGGATAAACGGTGATGTTACAGACTCGAATGTAGCCTTAAACTTATTCCATTCGTCTCAGATCGACCCGCCTGCATTGGTCGATCAGTCAGTCGAGATAGCACAGTCTCTGATTGCCGGGATATTAGCCCACCAGATATTGGAACGGTGTGGGGCAAATACACATTGTATACCGTGTGTCTGGAACATAAAGTACAACGTGGTCACTATTCGCTAGTAGGGGAAGGTGTTGAATGTCGATGACATTCTCACAGAGGTGTGTGAGGACAAGGTTCAGCAATAACGGACCATTTTCCAAGTCAATATGTCGGTCTTGCGATACAGGGTCGCTATCGAAACCCCCACTTGGAGCTGTAAGCTCTATTCAGTTGATATGCGGTGCGTTGAAATCTCCAATGATGAAACAACAATATGCCATACACCAAGAACCGATGTCTTACGATAAAGTTGTCATCAAAACAACACGGACCATGATACATCTCTCCTATAGTCACTAACCCGTGTCTAGACTTGGTTGTACATCATGCTACTTGACATGTTCCACTAACATGCGCCTCTGATGCGATTGATTATATACGAAAGTGATCCATAACATATAACATTATGCCGGTTCCCTTGAGACTTATAACTCGATCACTTCTAATACAGATGTCGCCTGCAATGATGAGGGAACAGTCTATATGTACGGCGAGCCAAGTTTCAGTGACAATTATATTGGGACTTAATTCATCCACCATCAAACTTAGCTCAGACGTTTTATTTCGAAGACTATGAGCGTTCGTGTGACATACATCTAAGGTGCTTTAACAATCGTTCGTTCTACGCACACAGGCCTCGGAAGCATTAGCTTCCAGGACCTGACCACCCGAAAACACTTAGTGGTAAGATTTGCTTTGCCACTTAGCTTTCAACTTCCTAAATTTGTAAAGACATTCTTCCACTTGATTTGATCCTCAAGCGGCCAATCTGGTCGGATACGAATATTTGAATGCGTCGTTTAGAATGATGTCTCTTCCTTCATGAATTCCAAGTACTAACCTTAGGATCCTTTTTATTTGGATCTCGCCTCAAGCTAATTTACCGACCCGAGCTCTCAATTTTGGGGAAGCCGCCATAGTAAACTTTGGGGAGATTTTGGAGAAATGGCATAAAAACCCCAAAATTTCCCCAGAATCTTACTACAATTTGGGGAAATATGCTTATATTTCTTAATAAAACCCTGAAATTTTTCACAATTTTGGGGAAATTTTGCGTTTTTCCCCGAAATTGCCCCTGATAAGACTCGATTCTTATCACTTTCGTGATATGTACCCCCAAAACCTTTTCAGATAGTACATTTCTGATAGCAGATCGTGTGCGTATCTTTTATCAGGGTCATCGTCTTTCGACTCCTCTAGATTCCAAATAATATTAAACTGGGAACAGGTTAAACTTCTTTGAAAGTCGTGTTCGCGGCAAGAAAACTAACGGCAAGCTCCAAGAAGTTAACAGGGAGGATCTCACATCACTGAAAGGCAAACTGTCAGGATTGATACAGGTCCAGCAACCTACTTTCCTTATTACCGTAAACTGGTAATATTTTCCCAAATTACCAGTGACAGACAACCGACATGGAGGATGAATACGTACATTTATTATGATGCTGGCCCACTAAGGAAAGAACAACTGCTTTTCTGAAGGTTTTAAATATAACCTTTCCTTCTTAGCTATGGTGCGTCACATCGACAATTCGTGAAGTTTTTCAGAAGCGGTCAAATCAAGACATTTAAATTTGAATTTAGTTCAGACACACCATGTCTGATAACACACACCCTACAAGTAACGAAGACGATGCCATCGTGATGATGCATGATATAAGACGAATCTCCAATGATATTACGTTATCTCAACGGTTTACAAGTTGGGACAATTTTGAGAACTGTTTGAAAGTATTACATGAGGTAATACGACTTCTGTGGTTAATAATTATTTTTATAGTATAATCACACTAAGTACGTTACGTCAGTAAGTAAAAAACAGTGATGACCCGAATCTAAAGTATTTTTTTTCGTGAGATGTGTTATAATCATCTATAGCATATGCATAATATTTACAACACTCAGCACAACTAATATATTCTCTATTAGCCTATTTCTGCCACAAAAGTCGAACAAAACAGTGAAAATCAGCCAAAATTGTGATAAAGACGGGAAAAACGATAAATCTTATTATAGTATCATTACTTGTAGCACTTTTTAAAAAGCGCCACCAAATTTGGTAGCCTTGAAGACAATACAATTTTTATGACGATATATGCTTTAATCATGTTATTTCATATAGAAATGAATTATTTGTCTACGCTCAGTGTATAGTGAGGTAGAAAAAATTGCTAGTCTGTGATGCAAATATGAAAAAACTATTATAGCAGCACCTGAATAATGAGTTTTCAAGGACTTCGCGACACCATGTAACGCAAAAAGAAAAAGCCCTTTTTCACCTAATCGTGACAACGTTAAATAAACTTTCAAATTAATTTATGATTATATTCGAATTTTGGCTCTGCAAAAAGCAGAAACGAAAAAGTAGAGCAAAAAAGTGTCGCGATACCCTTGGAGCGCTGCCGCCTCACAACGACTCTGACATTCATAATCCCACAACGTTAAGTAGTGTAGCAAAATCATGAACAATTAATCAGTGGCTGAAGAGGTGAAGTACCTCCCATAGTAAATAAGCTGTCCATACTTAAAAATGTCACGAATATTCATGACTTGACAACGCCCTTGGCTGTAACACAATATAGTTGTAGGATACCAACCCAGTCAAACCAGAAGTCAAGAATGAAGGAGTTCCGGAATATCATACGAACGTATTCGATATGTCAATAAGCATGTGGCCTATGCTGAATAGTTGTTGCAAGAGATGAGTATCGCGGCATAGCTACCCGTGATCTAAAGTAGAAGTGTGACCGGTAGCCTTCAAGTTTGACGTGTCTAACAAAACTCAAGAGGTTGTAGCGGTAAATAAATTCACGAAATAAATAGCTCTGCAAGTTTTCGACATTGGATGCTGACCATATGTTTTAGTGGGCCCATTTAGCTGAAGGCGCTCGGTCATGCATCCGCACCAGATCACGTGTGGTAACGCTGTGCTCATCATCTACTGCAATCGCTAGCCAGATTAGATCAGAGAATTCCGATATATTGGTTATCGCCAAGTGCACTCTTCCGATCTCCTTGACTCTGTCTTTTGATTTCTCTTGGTGAGTATGAATTATATTAGGTGTTTCCGGTAAAAGTGTTGTCAAACACTGAATACCCGTGCCATCTTCAACGTCAGGGTCGATGTTAAAATTTTATAGCGCCACTTACCCGAGGATTATTTTTACCACAACAACTCACTACTCCTTAATAGGGTAGTAAATATTCCAAGACATGGCCAGCCAAAAATCCAAGCACAATAGCGTCTGACTGTCTTTTCCTTATCTAAAATTTCATAAGGCACAAAATATTAATGGAAGATAGGTTGAATAAAAATTTTGATTCGTCATATCCGTCTTCAGTTTCTCATTCTTTCCAGTCATTCAGAGAATGGAATAAACTAAAAATGTGAGTGCAACTCGAAATACACTCGTACTTACGTAACCAACCGTATTGTGCAAAAAACATCGGTATAAACGCATATATGTACCATTGGACACTTGAAAAAATTACATCCAGGAAAGGTGGGTCTTATCTGTGTCAAAGCACCTGCACATGTTGTTGATGTAGACTTTAAAAATCAGTGAACCAAGACACTATCCAGCACAACACCACTGGTTATTGGTCGAGGTGTAGATGTTGTAGAGTTAATCTAAGTTATTTGATATTTGTTCGTGAGAAAAGGCTTGATTCATTGCAATAAGAGGTTTGTAATTCTAACTGACTGATGTCTGTTGATTAGAATGTCATGAAGCACATTGTAGAGGCTAATTTCCTCTATATCTGACTTCAGTAAATAGTATCCCGTTAACTGAGTATTTAATGCAGATAAATCTCCTAGTAGAATTATGGATTTACTCGAGATTATTCAAAAGCCTGAACACCAGTTTATGGAGATAATTTATTGTTAAAGATTGGTAATATCCTCAAGCGTGCACGAAGCATGCACACAGGGAAGCCAGGAGTGTGTGTGAGTGAGTGTTAAAAATCCTCATATATTTATGAGTGTTAATCAAGTATGGATAAATTATTGATTATCTGTGTAATACAACCAATGGGAGAATAGATTGGAAATTGATGTACAGCATGTGCCCAACATTACTCACACAGAAATGTACAAAGTGAATTAAGTGTCTAAATTGCAGTGAGCAGATAAATAATACAGTAGTTGGATGGGCTTACTACACCTTATCAAGAGATTTCTTGATATCACTAGTTCATTTTGGTCATGTTTTCATAGATTTTATAGAGTGACGAAGTGACTTCTTCTGAACTTAATTGTCCAGTTTTTCTTCAAATGGTTCAAATGGTTGTGGACGGAATAGAAGAAGCTTTCGCTTAACAGGCTTCCGTGTCTAGTACCAGGGGATCACCAAATCCTCCAGGAAGGAACCTAGGTATGTTAACAATAAAAGAGGAAAAGAAATTGGTAAATCATAGTGTGATGCTGTCCTTGGTTCTTAAGAATAGGTCAAGTTGCCTCTTGAAGGACTCCTGAGAAGTCGCCTGGCCTAGCTCGGCCGGCAGCGAATTCCAGCTTTTGACAACTCTTAAAGAGTAGAAGTTGTGTCTACATTCCGTCTTGCTATGTTGTGTTTCCAGTTTCTGGGTGTTACCCCTTAGGTTATTATTCGAACTAAGCTTAAGTAGGTGTTTAAGAGGATGTCCAGAAGTGTTAAGAATACTATAAGCCATTAATAAATCACCTCTAAGACGCCTATATTCTAGTGGGTAAAGGTCTAGTGAACGGAGGCGTTCTTCGTAAGGCTTAGATTTGAATCCTCGAACTGATTTCGTGGCTCGCCGTTGGATACGCTCCAAAGTGACCTTGTCCTTTTGGAGTGAGGGGGGGAGTACTATGTTTCCGTACTCTAAATGGGGACGGATGAAACTATTGAAGATCATATGGAAAGTTCTTCCGTCAAACTGGCCAAAAATGCGCCTCAACGTTACCAGTGCAAGGTTTGCTCGGAAGGCATTTTTGTCACAGTTAGCGTAAGACTTTAAGTCATGGGGCACCAGGACTCCTAAATCTTTTTCGACTTGGGATACTACTAGAGAGGAGTTTCCTAAGTTGTAACTGTAGTTTGAGACATGTCGCAGATGGACTACTTTACACTTTGAAGTGTTAAAGGTAAGTCCATTATCGTCTGCCCAACTTTGAAGTCGCGTCAGATCCTCCTGAAGTGCCTGTGTATCGTCTTGGTTGCGTATCTCTCTCCAAAGTTTCACGTCGTCGGCAAAAAGTAATAAGTCTGACGTTACCTGTTGAGGAAGATAATTTATGTTGATCAAGAAGAGAAGAAGCCCTAGTGCTGAGCCCTGGGGGACCCCACTAGGACATTCCATAGCCTGAGATAAAGTGAAATTAACCCTAACCTTAAAGTGTCGATTTTTTAGGTATGAAGTAAGCCAGTCGATTAGAGGTGGTTTGATACCTAGTCGTTTGAGCTTATTGGTAAGACACAAGTGGTTAACCTTATCAAAAGCTTTTGAGAAATCAAGGTAAATGACATCAACCTTTCCCTTGCGATCGAGGATGCTTGTCCATCTGTCCACCGCAGTCAGCAGGTTGTTAATACAAGAGTAACCCTTCCTGAAACCATGCTGTTGGGGTGAGAAGAAATTTAAGGACAGTAGATAGTCATTTAAACCGTCGCATATCAGGGACTCCATGAGTCTTGAAGGTAATGACAGAAGAGCCACCGGCCGATAACTTGAAGGTTCGTTGCGTCGACCACCTTTGAAAATTGGTGTGATGTGAGCCAACTTCCAATTTTCGGGTAATTTGCCTCGGCTAAGCGAGTGTGAAAACATCACGCTAAGCGGCGTTGCCAGGATTGAGGCTGCCTCCCTCAGTATGGCAGGATGAACCATATCCGGGCCAGGAGAAGTGTCAAGTCTTAAGTGCTGCAATTTCCGGAACACCAAGTCAGCGCTTAGGTCCACTTCAGAAAGTCCTGTGGAATTGCAGATGAAACTGTCGTCAATAAAGTTGATGTCAGCCGGTTGAAATGTTTGAGAGTAATGTGCCGCCAGAAGGTTAGCGGCGTCGCCATCATTGTTGGTCGGGCCGTTAAGACCTAGCAGTTGAGAAACTCCTGTTTTGGCTTGACGAAGAGAGGCTGCATAACGGAATAGGCTTCTAGGGTTAGAGGCGAATTTGTCCATAAGCTTTGTTTGGTACTGAAGCCTGTCTTCTCTTATAGCCTTCGTGCATATGTTCCTGATATGTTTATATTGCCTATACGCTCCATCGTTATTAGTTCGTATGTATTCTGGCCAACAGTGCCTTTTGCGGCTTAGCAGGCGAAGGGTACGGTTCTTGATTACTGTAGGTGGCTTGCAGCTTTTGGGAACCGTTTGAGGAACTGAATGGTCTGTAGCACATAAGAGCGTGTGCAGTAAGAAGTCCCAATGACCATCCACATCGAGTTGAGGGTGAACCTCCCAAACCACCTGTTGTAGATAGTCATGTAGAGCTGGCACATTCAGCCGTTTAAAATTCCAACGCAAAGTATTGTTGGGATACCTTAGCTTAGTTTTGCTGAGAAAACTGAAGGCTATGACGGCATGATCGCTTTTTCCCAGTAGAGCCTGGATTGAGAGGTTGTCGACTAGGAATTCTTCGTTAGTGAATACACAGTCTAAGCGCGATGGTGTCTGACTGTTTCTCCAACGAGTTGCCGACCTCACATTTTCATATTAGCCCAAGTTATCGATGAGGTTGAAGAACCGAGCTTCAGTTGAGTTGTCGCCTCCAGTGTACGTGTGTTCCGCGAAGTTGACTCTAGGGAGATTAAAGACCCCTTAATCGACAGAAATGCTTCATCTAAACATAAGTATTTCATGAATATAGAAAATAAAGCTCTACGTAGTAAAAGCCCAGAATTATCAATACTTCGACTTTTTAAATCCCGTGTAAAGTCAAATTCCCTTGGCACGACCAAATTCTTCATAGTTAACGGAAGCGTTGTTAACGACCCGAATACTATATGCGAACAATTCAGCAAGCACTTCTCGCAGTGCTACAAGACTAGAACTGAAAGCTCCATCATTTCATTTCCAATCCTAACATCCAGACATCTGTCGAAAATTGATTTCACACCCTCCAACATCAAGCAGGCCATAACTGCCCTGAAAAAGTCTTATGATGGTGGACCTGACGGGATACCTACATCATTTGTGAAATATGGAAGTAAAGAATTTCCACTATTTTGTTTGAAACTTTTCAATCTATCTATGGAATATGGGACCTATCCATCTGTATGGAAAACATCCCTTATCACCCCTAGATTCAAAACAGGACCACGTAGTGATATTATTAACTATAGGCCAATTAATTTGACATCCGTGCTGTCAAGAACCATGGAAAAAATCATCCACAAACAGCTACTATCATTTTTACTTTCAGCTAGTCTGATCAGCCCATCCCAACACGGGTTTATGACTAAACGCTCATGTTTCACATCGCACCTGGAGTTTTTTGATCAAATTACCCAGAGAAGAGATGTTGGTCAGTCAGTGATAATTCTTTACTTCGATTTTAGTAAAGCTTTCGACAGTGTCTCACACAAACTTCTTCTTTTAAAACTCTCTTCATTTGGCATACAGAATCCCCTTTTATCTTGGCTCAAATCTTTTTTAGAAGAACGTAGCCAAATCGTTCGCTTTGGATCTTGCTACTCTAAACCTGTAAATGTAACCAGTGGGGTTATACAAGGAAGTGTGGTTGGTCCATTGCTCTTTCTCCTTTTTATCAATGATGTGTGTTCCCTCTTTCAGTATGGTAAGCCTTTCCTTTTTGCTGATGACCTGAAAGTAGTTTATTCATTCTCTTCTCCCACGAAAGAAAGCTATATTTCTGCGGTAATCCAGGAGGAAATAAACAAGTTGTACGAATGGACTATTTCGTGGAATATGCCACTTAATGTTGACAAAAGCGGATTTATTCACATTGGTCGCTGTCTTAACTTAAATCTGACTGTACAGACACATACACTCAAACCTCTCAACACTGTTCGTGACCTGGGTTTAAGATATAGCAATAGTCTGAACTTTTCTGAACACATTATATCTCAAGTATCCAAAGCTAGAAAGCTCATCGGATTGATAATGATAAACTTCAATAATATCGAATCGAGATTGTTACTATACAGAAAATGTGTCTTGCCCATTCTTGAATATGGTATTTTAGTTTACAGTAATTGTAGACATAATGATCTGATTAGAATTGAAGGTGTTCAAAGAAAGTTCACCAAAGCTGTTCTGGGGTATTCCGATAACAAAGACTATTACCAAAGGTGTCAACAACTCAACTTAGAACCTCTTTGGATCAGACGTATCAAATTAAATCTTGTCTTTATCTACCGGCTCATTAACGGTATTTCCTACTCATCGGTATCTACCCCTTCATACCTTATAATATCATCCCACAATCTACGCAATAAGGAGAATATTCTAGCGATTCCAAGAACCCACACAAACTTACGTCAGAATTTTTCCTTATTCGCTACTCAACCATGTGGAACAGACTGCCAGTGAACCTCCGTTGCAGTGAA